TCTGATGCATGCTAAAGTTCAAGAACAACTGCCCTAAAGGGAGACCTATGACTAGAACTGCCCTAACAACAAGTTTGACGAGATCACAGGGGAACTGTGTGAAGGCTGAGCACGCTCTCAGAGGGCTTCGGAAGACAGACTGGACTTTCCAAAGATCTACCCTAAAAGAAAAAAAAAACCCTCCAAAATAAAAAAATAAACAAATGTCTACACGAATTCAAAGTGGTCAAACAATAGTTGAACTACCTACTAGAACAAAAATCAAAACTTCAGAGAAAAATAACTACAGAATCCACAATTTCTACAGTGCATCATCTGTAGCCTTAAGTATGACAATAAAAAATTACCACACAGACACAGGAAAACAAAGTAGAAAATAGAAATTGACCTTAAGATTACTCAGATATTTTACTTAGTAGACAAAGACATTAAGATAGCTATTATAAAAATATTCAAAGAATTAAAGGCAAAAATGTTCAAAATAAAGAAAAATATGATCTGGATGAGAAAATAAATAGGAAATAGTCAGGGAATCTTGATGATGGGAACTATGAAAAAGAAGTAATGTAAGCTCTAAAACTTTTTAAAGTAAAATAAATACACAATTCATTAGTGGCTTAACAGCAGGTGGAAGATGGTAGAAGAGTCAGTAAACCTCAAGATTAATCAATAGAAATTATCTGACTTGAAGAACAGAAAAAAATTGGAGAAAAATGAATAGCTCCTCTGAGACCTTTGGGACAATATCAGACATATGTATAATTGGTGTCTCGAAAAGAGACATTGAAAGTGGGACAGAAATATGATAGAAAGAAAAAATTTTCCCAAAGTTGTTGAAATGGTCAACTTAAACCCCTGTAGCTCGGCAAACTCCAGGCAATATAATTAGAAAGAAAAACTATACCTAGATACATCATTGTCAGATTGCCAAAAAACAGAAAAATAAAAATTTGAAAGCTGCCAGAGAAGAACAATGCATTACATATAGAACAACAACCACACAGAGACGACCAACTTCTTGTCAGAAATTGAGAAAACACAAGACAATGACTGACAGTTTCAAAGTGCTGAAAGAGCCCTTCCCCGAGTTCATTACCGTCCCCGCCCCTCGGTTTTCTCATCATTCTCAAATCCCTATTTGAATTCCTGGTCACTGTTCATTTGACTTTCCAAGTCAGAAAACTGGGAACCATTCTAGATACCTGTTTGTCCTCTAGCCTTATATAATGGCCCAGCAGATCTTTTGATCCTGCTTTTAAAATGTCACTAAACTAGTCCCACCTGTTCATCCCAATTTCCATTGCTTTAGGTCAGGCTCTTCCTGCCTAATCGTCAGAAGTCAATTGCCGGAGTTTGAATTTTGCCTTATTAGGTGTAACTTTGGGTATATTCTTTGACTTCTCTGAGTCTCGGTCCCCAGATCTATAAAATGGGAGTACATCATCATCATCACCACCATCATAAACCTATCTGTAGAGGTTTTAAGATTGCACAGAAATTTTCTGTCTCCTCCATAATAATCGGGGTGAACTGGGTTATGCTACAGCTACAGACATTCTTCAAATCGCAATGACTCACAGCTGTGACTAACTCTCCGTGCCTGCTGGAAGTCAGCGGGAGCTCTGCCATCAGTTGTTCTCACTCTGGAACCTGGGCTAAACGAGAAGCCACTATGTGGAATATTGCCAGATGCCATGGCAGGGAGAGAGGAAGGGCCAAGCAAATGTGGTTCTAGTTCTCAAAGGCCCCTACTTCTCAAGGTCCCCTCTGTTTCTTTGACTGAACTGGGTCACACAGCCAGCCGTGTCCAACTTCAGAAGCAGGTCAGAAAGTACAGTTTTATCCTATGCTCTGAACAGGATGTGGCAGGAATTACTGCTGGTGTCCAAGTATTTCCGGTTCTCCTTTTGGGCTCATGGTAGGGTTGTACTTCCCTGCCTTCCTGGAGTCGGTTGTGGCTGCGTGAAACTGGGGCAGAAGCGTCTGGAGTCTATACACAATGAACCACACTTCCGCGCTGCTACTGGGACAGTGACACCCGCCCCCCGCCTCCCTCCTGTGAGGTATGTATTGAGATGAAGTCTCCATTATTGCAGGATTCTATGTGACTATGAGAAGAATCGCTCCCTGGCCAACCTGCGTGTGACATATGGTAGGAGCAGAGAATTATTTTGGTTGCTTTATGCCACTGAGATTTGGGGGTTATTTCTTGTCACAGCATAACCTAACCTGTCCTGACTAGTATAGTAGCTTAAAGAATAATTGTGAGGATTAAATGAGATAACTTTTGTCAAAGGCTTGGCACATGATTAGCCCTCAGTGTGTGTTAGTAATTACCATTCTTGCTCAAACTCTTGTACTAACCTCCTAACCAATGATGTCTGACCCTGTCCATTTTTCACCATCCACTCCATTGTCTCCAGAGACATCTTCCTAAAATGCTAAACTAATCGTTCTCTTCCTTCAGATGAAATTGAAATCTTCAGTTTTCTCCTGACTTCGATAAACCTTAAATTCTCTTGTAGGGATCAAGACCTGCCATGGCCTGAACTCTGCCTACCTCTCCAGTCTCACTGCGCACTCACCCCTCAAAGTTGCCCTGGGGTCAGCCACGTCAGGCAGCCAGTTCTTGCTATGCCCTTCTTACATTCATATAATTGCAAATGCTGTTCCTTCTGCCTGGAATGCTCTTCCTCCATTCCAAGGGAACTTACCCACAAGGCAAACCGCTTATCATTCCTCCAGACAGCTCAAGGATCACCTCCTCTGTGTATTTACTCTGATACACTTGGTAGGAGTTAGCTATAGTCCCCTGTTATGCCCTGATGGTTTGCTTGCTTGTCTATTTTCATTATACTGCGGCCCTCAGTGGCAAAGATTTTGCCCACTTCATTTTCGTACCCCCAGTGCCTAGTACTATGCCTTCCATGAGCCAAATATGTGCTTCTGTGTTAGTTGCTCAGTCGTGTCTGACTCTGTGACCCCAGGGGCTATAGCTCGCCAGGCTTCTCTGTCCCTGGGATTTCCCAGGCAAGAACACTGGAGTGGGTTTCCATTTCCTTCTCCAGGGGATCTTCCTGACCAAGGGATCGAACCCATGTCTCCCACATTGGCAGGCAAGTTCTTTACCACTGAGCCACGAGGGAAGCCCTAAATTGAGAGAGTGAATAAATGAATATTTATTGAAATGCTGTTTCTAATACAAGTCATTAATTAGGGCACACCACCATGGGCAAAGTTTCCAACTTTTCTTCTTGGACATGACAGAACCTAAAAATAGAAAATATTTTCAAAATAAGAGCAAAGCAAACTAATGTAATTTGTAATTACATATTTTTTTTATTCCGAAGAGTCCAGTACTGATCTCCAAATTCAGTACCATGGTTGTCACATAAGTGGCAGGGTAATGTAATGGGTAGAGGTGATAACTGTTAAATATAATGCTTGCTTTTTGACATTCTGACTACCTGAGATACTTTATATGACAATATTTTTGATATAATAGAAAAGCAAACCATCAATAGATAAAGCATCTCAGGAATATGTGTCTAATTAGTATTCTATGGGTGCATTTTCTTTTTCAAATTGTGGTTTTAATAGCCTTGAACATCTTTTGTCTCTCTTTTTATCTTTTATATTTGTCCTACCTCCTTTCGAAGACGATGGACTGCTTTTCTGGGCGCCTGATGTCTTCTGCTAGCGGTCAGAAGTTGTTTTGTGAAGTTTGCTCAGTGTTCAAATGTTCTTTCGATGAATTTGTAGGGGAGAAAGACCACTTTCTCACCATCCTATCCCTCTGCCATCTTAGCTCCTCCCTTGAACATCTGCAGTCACTTTTCTGGTAGGATTGCTACCCTCTCAATAGCAGATATTTACTTTGCTTTCATCTGTAGCTTCCTTGAGAGTTCTTTCTTGTCTCTCTTGTGAAGAAGGGTAGCCTTTTCCTGTCAAGCTTTCAGAACTCTTAAAAAATAGTTGATTACTTTATGGCTGTGCCGAGTCTTCCTTGCTGCCCAGGTTTGTCCTCCAGTTGAATGTAGTGGATCTGCTCTCACATTGCAGTGCTCGGGTCTCTCACGACGGCAGCTTCTCTTGTGGAACACAGGCTCTAGGAGTTCCAGCTTCGGTTGTGAGAGCTTGTGGGCTCAGTAGTTGTGGCTCCTGAGCCCTAGAGCACAGGTTCAGGCGTTGTGGCTCATGGGCTTAGCGCTCTGAGACATATGAGATCTTCTCGGCCTAGGAATTGAACCCATGCCTCCTGCATCAGCAGGCAGCTACTTTACCACTGAGCCACCAGGGAAACCCTGAGTTTTCAGAACTTTTTACCTCCATGTTCACCATAAAACTCATAACCATTACAAAGGGTATTATCTGAGATTTTTCCAACAAAACTTTCTGTTCATTGAGTCCGTGACTTGATTTCTATGGACCATAATAAGCTCCAGAATGCTTATGTTTCTTCCCTGGTAGTTCAGTCAGTAAAGAATCTGCCTGCAGTGCAGGAGACCCAGATTTGATCCCTGGGTTGGGAAGATGCCCTGGAGAAGGAAATGGCAAACCACTTTGGTATCCTTGTCTGGGAAATCCCATGGACAGGAGAGCCTGGTGGGCTGCAGTCCAAGGGGTCACAAAGACTTGGGCACAACTGAGTGACTAACCATTTCACTTTCCATATTGCCCATTACTATCAAACTATCTTGGTTTTGCAAGACTGAGATAGACCAATAGCAAAATTTCTAAATAAGAGAACACTAAAAACCTAAGAAATGTATCTCAAAGATTTATTAAGATCAGATGGAGCAGAAGTTGAGGTTAGGAGGGCATGCGATAATCAGTAAGAAAAGGAATCTTGAAACCTGAATATAAATCAACCTATGTGTGGGACTTCCCTGGTGGCCCAGTAGTTAAGGCTTTGAGCTTCCAATGCAGGGGACACAGGTTTGATACCTGGTTGGGAAACTAAGATCCCACATAATGCACGGCACAGCCAAAAAATAAAATCATAAAAAAAAAAGAAATAAATCATAATAGGTAATCCCCATAGAGGAACAGGCATGCCCAGGAGAAGGGGAGGAGCAAGGATGGCCAGGACAGGGGGCTGGGTCAGCACTGAGAGGGTGGGACTCCTGGGCAAGGAGCAATCTCAACCAATTAAGCAGTGGACCTAAATGGCAAAAGACCCTGATGCTGGGAAAGATTGAAGGCAGGAGGAGAAGGGGGCGACAGAGGATGGGATGGTTGGTTGGCATCACCGACTCAATGGACGTGAGTTTGAGCAAAGTCTGGGAGCTAGTGGAGGACAGGACAGCCTGGTGTGCTGCAGTCCATGGGGTCAGAAAGAGTCGGACACTACTGAGCGACTGAACAACAACAAGAGCAGCAAAATCAACCAGCATGCGGTAGAGTGCAGGGACCCAGGGTGGCTTGGAGAAGGTATTCATATAGGAAACTGCCTCTGCAGGTTAGATCTTCAGACAAAAGAAAACATGGTTAATGATGAGATAAGTATAGCTCCCAGTTAAGAAAAGGCACGGCTCAACTTCAACACTTCTGAGAAAAAATCGTGGCACCACCCACATGGGCTTGTCTTTAGACTTGGAAGCTGGGGTCACTGCGTTTAGCAGAGAGGAGGAAAGAGAAGAGCAGAAGCACAGTTCGGGGGCGAGAAAAGGACACCTCCAAAAATGCTCGTGTCTTCTCATACACCAAGGACAGAGGTGTTTTGACCTGCCAAAGACAAGAATGACTTCAGCCGTAGTCAGTGATTTCAAAAGGGAAATGTAAATTCCATTTACATTTACAAGAGGCAGAGCAATGGCACAGCCATGTCAGCATTGGTGGAGAGACGTGTTATGTCATGTGACTGCACTGGCATCTTAGGTTCCCATAATCTGTGGAGTTATCAAGGGGACCCATCCAGCATTTAGCATATTGTGTCTGCAAGAAAACATGTTCTTGATTAAAAACAAGGCTGGAGTTTTCATGTAGTTTTCATGGGCTATTTTTCACGTGTGGCACCTTGTATCCAAGTAGCCACTTCTTTCAAGTGTATAACATCTTTAACAGAATATGCTTAGTCACACAGTACAGAGGAACTGGCAAATTAAACATTTAATGATCACTGAATGGAAATAACTATTTTTATTTTTATTTTTATAAAGAAACTTGCCTAGATACAAGGAACAATGAAAGGAATGTAGTTATGAAGTCAGTTCTTTCTTGGATTGGGTCTGAAACACTTTGAACATATGAATTGTTTATTGTTACTAATGAAATGTGTTTTAGAGAGAGGTCACATCAGATCACAAAACAAAATTAAATCTAATTAACCAGGAGTTCCCAACATTGATCAATCCGGATTGTGATACTATAGGTTTTGGACTTCTATTTCCTAAACTTGCTTCATGTAGTTCAGGAGGGAATCTGATAATTTTTCATTATTTCAGATAAAAATCAATGAATAAAAGAAGTGATGGGTTCTGTGGAATTATTTGCTGGTGTTAAGTCAGAGTTCCAAGGAGAGGGACATGTCTACTCCCTGTGTGGGGCATCTGTTGGCTCTATGGTAGCTTGGAAGGCAACTCAAATATTACTCTGACCAAGACATATATTTCCCCAAGTGAAAAGAATGTCTGAAACACCAAAGTTGGAGCCACTGGATTAGCTTGGGATTCAGGAATTTACTGTGACAGAGAATTAGGCCAAGGTGAAAATTTTTTTTGCAAGGAAGACTAGAGATGAAGGAAGTCTATTTTCAAAATACACTTGAAAAGCCTTAAGAGCATGCCAATGTAAGAAGTCAGCAAATTGGTGAGACTGAGGATTAACAGCTATGCACGATGATTGTTTGCAATGCCCCTAAACTCAGAGGGTATTTGCTTCTCTGACTCATGTGGGTCAACAAGAGTGCAGTGTAGGAGTCGGGTGGGGGAAGGGGTGATGGCATGTAGTTGGTAATACCATACTCCAAAATTACTATTGATTTTATATAATTTTAATGATTATGCATAATTTATCTTAAAATTTCAAGTAATCTTAAAGCAGGAGATGTGATCTTTATATTGGTTAAATAAATATGTGGTTAGATATGCCACATGTTGCATGAGGACCACTGAGGGCCCTCTCCTTAGACTCCTTTCTGCAGAGTTCATGGTAGACCTTTCAAATGGATTGGCCATGCTTCACAATACTTACAGTCATTTAAACTATAGTCTCCAGAGCAACAGTAAAGTCAATATCCTTCTATCTAACCACTAGTGACTCTCAAGCTTTACTCTGGAAGGATTTCTGCCCTTTCTTCAAAGTATCTATCTTTGTTAAGGGTGAAAGGGACATAGCCAATGTCCCGGTGGTCCTTTTCCACAGGAAGGTGAAGTCTATCTGCTTTCAAAGTACCAGCTGCCTCTACCCACCTCACACTGTGGCTGTGTTCAAAAAGAAGAGTATACTGGGAGCAAGCTTCCAGAACACACAGTGCCTCGTAAAACATGTTCAGCTGGAGCACAGACCCTTTCAAGCACATTGCCTAACCCCACAGTGACTTATCTGAATGCTCCCTCAGAGCTCTCTCTGAAGGACAGGGTCAGATTGAGGCTGTAAAGTGGTACAAGTGTGCTTCCAGGCGTCTTCATCCAGAACTTCCACTGAGCCGGGCAGTCGGTCTGGTTAGATCACTAGTCTTTGGGTGGGTATCATGACTTCCTGCCCTAAATGCATGCCCATCAACCTTTTAGGCTTCATTGCCATTACCTCACAAAAGAGGCCAGAAAACTCTAGATCAGTGGTTTCCAACCTGCTTCTTTATCAGAATCTCATTAGCATCACCACATTGCTATTTTATTTGGACTTTTATTGAGTGAGAAAACTCCATAACTGCAAAAAAGAAAACAGTTACTATCAACCTGAGGTTGAGATTAGCTTGTTAATCAACTTCTATAGGTATTTTAAAAAAGAATAGTTATATATGAAACATAGTCAATCTTCAGACGTGACTTGAAGACCCATTTTACTTAAGGCTCTTTTGGTTGCAAATAACAAACAAACTCTGGCCAGAATAGATTAAAAGTCTCCAAGGAAGAGATGCACACCAGGCCTTGGCAAGGGTCATGGTCAGTGGCAGCTCATGGCTTCATTCTATTTGTCTAGTTGACAGCAAGAGTCAGCTCATTCCACAGAGTTACATCCTTCCACATGGGAAAGATCTTCAAAAACTCACTCAAATTCTATAGTTAAGTTCTTTTTTCCCCTGAAAATCACACAGAATTAGTTGGCTAGGGCTGCCATAACAAAATTACACAATCTGGGTTGCTTAACAGAATTCTGGAGAATGGAAATCCAGGATCAAGGTGCCAGCAGGATTGGTTGCCCCGGCTGGCAGATTATCACCTTCTCACTGTGTCTCCACATGGCATTCTCTCTGTCTGCATATCCCTGGTGTCTCTCCTCCTTTTCATAAGAACAGTAGCCACATTGGATTGGGGTCACCCTTGTAATCTCATTTAACCTTAATTAATTCTTTAAAGGTCCAGTCTCCAAATACTGTCACATTAGGGAGTAAGGCTCCAACATATAAACCTTGATGGGACACAATTTAGTCTGTAATAGGTACCGTATCTGTCTTTTTCTCTGTAGACTTTATAAACTGCTATTGGCCAAAAGCACAAGAATCCCACGAAGCTGGGCACCTTCTAAAGTAGGTATGATAATATAATTTTGATAACTCAGAATTGAACACCAAGTAAGCATTGACCCTAGAATGTCACACTTTACAGGAACATCTCCTGGCAGATTTAAGTATCACTACTTCACTAGCTGCTCATTTTGAAGTCCCAGTCAGCAAGGAATTCCATGCGTTTCAAGACGTCTGTATGGAAATTTTTTTTTAATATCTGTGAATTCTTATAAAATATGTTGTTGTCCAGTTGTTAAGTCATGGCCTACTCTTTGCAACCCCATAAACTGCAGTACACTAGGCTTCCTTGTCTTTCATTATTTCCCAGAATTTGCTCAAACTCATGTCCATTGAGTCAGTGATGCCATCCAACCATCTTGTCCTCTGTTGTCCCCTTCTCCTCCTGCCCTCAATCTTGCCCAGCATCAGGGCCTTTTCCAGTGAGTCAGCTCTTCCCATCAGGTGGCCAAAGTATTGAAGCTTCAGATTCAGCATCAGTACTTCCAATGAATATTCAGGACTGATTCCCTTTAGGATTGACTAGTTTGATCTCCATGCTGTCCAAGGGACTCTCAAGAGTCTTCTCTAGCACCACAATTTAAAAGCATCAATTGGCATCAATAGCACATAAAATATATTCAAGACCAAATTGAAATAGTTCATTCATCTGTTTTTTGACTTACATATTAGGGAAAAGCAAGGAAACACTACATGCGTGGCTGGTTTCAACCAAATTCTTTCTTTAAATGATATAATATCAGTCCTTATAGGTTTGAATGCCACTGTCATGGGGAAAAGATAAGGGAGGTAGGGAAGAGTTATATGTTATTTAGTGAAAACTGAACAAAATCTTATCTAGAAAAGAAAGAAAAAGCATTGAGACTTAGAATTTTACCAAACTTCCAACCAACTTGGACTGATTCAAAAAAAATTCAGTTGACCTATAAATAACTCATGGATTAGGAGTGTCAAACTTCCATTCAGGTGAAAAATATGTGTATAATTTATAGTTGGCCCTCCGGATCCCTGGTTCCTGGTTTCTCCCTATATGTGGTTCCTCCACATGTGCAATCTGGCATCTGCAGATTCAGCCAACCTCATGGTTGTGTATGAGTGTATTACCATCATATTTACTATTGAAAAAAATCTGCTGTAAGTGGACTGCACAGTTCACAACTGTGTTGTTCAAGGGTCTGCTGTATATGAACTCCCAAATCAAAGACAAATATTCAAAAACTGAAAAGGCTTTACCAAACGAGGCTAAGGTACAAGAAAATCTAAACTACAGCTATATGTAATTCCAATATGTAGTATCTATAATTCAAGCCTTACTACTTTAGAAAGGTTTTTATCCAGATAAAGGATTTTTATCTGGTCTTACAGCTTCTGTCCCCACTAGGTGCCCAAGTAAACAAAATTTTTCCCATTTTGGTACATAAAATCATTTTTAGGGTATTGCCTGCTGTTAATTATCACATGAATAATATCATAAAGTATAATATTACCAGAAATGAGTAGCTTTAAGTATGAGCTTCAGTAAGGAAACTTCTTTCACTTGCTAAATACCTTGGCACGCACTGGCCCCTCCCAGGCACGGGGACTGCTGCTTCTCAGCAAGAAATAGTCCCAGATACGCCATATTGACGGACGCAAATGAAATAATCATCGACTCTAGCATTTTCCTGATCGACTCTTCCTTGTTGATTGGCTTGCAGTGTAATGTTTTTAATGCACTGGTTTCTGAGTTCAAAGAGCTCTGTCATACCTATT